GCTGTTTTCCAACTCCATGAGAGAAATCCTTTGCCTTAAATAGTTATTTACCTGTGAGGATATGGAGTTGAGGCTTTTACTTTGATTAATTCTCATGGCTATATATATTGTGGTTTGTGGTATGAAGGTTATGCTTAGTTCACACGCACACTTTTGGAAGTTATAATTGAAGTAATCTTGATTACGATTGTGATCTTTTTTTCTAAATACCTAGTTAGTCTTTTTGAGTTGATCTGCATGCTTTCTTTCTTAATTCACGCTTGAATTGCTAGAGACTAGCAATAAGTCGGTTGGGGGTTGTGATGAAAACATGAAAATGTATATTTAAAGTGTGCTTAACCATTGACATCAGTAGAATTATGGGTTTAAGAGTTTCATTTTGTAATTTCGTAAGTGTTCATTCTATTCATTTATGTGACTTTCAACCAAATTGTATTTGTCCTAATTATTTTGATGTGGGTCCCACAGCTATTTCAATTAGGGTTTTTGAAATCCTATAAATACTCATCTAAGTTCAAAAACTGAGGGGTTGGAGAAGCTGTTCGATGACAGGAAGGTGAGAGAGCAGCAGTAGACTTAATGATGAATGAAAGTCACAATGGAGGCTTCATTGCCGTCAGCGTCTAATTTCAAACTGCACTTTCTCCACATGTCGATGGAGATGAAGGTAATTAAAGTACACTCATCAAATTCAAATTCCCAAAACACAACCTTAAATTCAATTACACTTTATGAAAATAAACAACAAATTCAATTACACACTATGAAAGTAAATAATGATATTAAATTTGATTGAAATTCAAATACACTATCAAAAATCATGTTTATGAGTGGAACCATTTTTTCATCCTATCCAAGTAGAGAATATTAATAGAATTTGAATACTTCGCTGATGGATGGGATTACGTGGAGATGGTAATAGGTAGTGTAGGTTGCCTTGAGTCTTGATATAGACTGAGAATAAGGTATATGGCAAGGAGGAGCCACCCGAGTAAGGCGACCAAAGCAATAAATGGTTTGCTAATGAAAAGGAGTGAAATGATTGCCATGGAACCTGTTAGGATGGTAATGGTAATAGTCCTCAGAATTTTACTCCAATGGAAAGCACGACAGTTGAGAGTCTTGAGGTAAATGGTGCGGAGCCTACAATCGGCACATAAGGCTAGAATGCATAGCATCATCATTGCACAATAAATGGACAACATAAAAGAACATTGACGCGGGGAGAGCACCGGGTATTGTAATAAAATACTGAATGCTGATGTTAGGAGAGCCAATATGGCTAATGTTCCAGCGAAAAAGGACTCGTGCGGTCTGTAAAAGCAAAACCACAAGAAAGAAATTAGGACCGCGCAATTCATATGGCCCCAGGCCCAATGTATTGAAATGTAGAGATTTTTTACCAGTGACTTTGTATTTTCACGCGTCCTTTTCATAAGTGAAAAAAATGACACCTTCTAAATTATATTTAAATAAATTTGTCTTTTTTTTTTGGATCATAAAAAAAATTTATATATAAATTTTTTTGAAATAAAAAAAGCAAATATGACTAACCTCATCATTGCAGGTTGCGGGTTGCAGTAGGTTTGGGAGCTGATGGGAGCTGATGGGAGCTGATGGGTGATGGGATCGGTGATTATGAAATGGGTTTGCAGGCTATATATAGGGATGGGTGACTATGAGGGATGGGTAACGAAGTTTCCTTCAGGTGATGGGATTGGTGATAAAACTTCGTTTCATTCATAGGGCTCAACTCAAAGGGATAATTCAACTCAAAGGGCTATATATAGGGATGGGTGACTATGAGGGGCTCAACTCAAAGGGATAAAACGTTTCATTCAACATTCAACTCAAAGGCCTATATATAGGGATGGGTGATGAGGGATGGGTAACGAAGTTTCGTTCAGGTGATGGGATTGGTGATAAAACGACTTCGTTTCATTCATAGGGCTCAGCTCAAAGCTAAAGCTAAGATATTTTTTCCAAGGGCAAAACGACCGAACGAAACGACCAAAAGGGAACTTTTTTTTTGTTTGTTTTTATTTTTTTAATTTTAATATTTATTTAATTAGAATTAATAACCACTTAACATCTATATATATATATATTATAAATGAGAAACTATTAAAGGAAAAAGTTTAATTTGTCGCATGTCATATAATTTGTCACATGTCATATTCATATGTCTTTTTTAATTTACCTCATATTCATATGTCTTTCTTAATTTACTTTTTTTAACACGTGACCAAACTTTCTCTTTTTGGTAAATTTGTTTTTTTAATTTTTTTAAAATGTGATTATTATTATTTTTATCCAACCTATACTCTAATAGTATAGATTAAGAATGTATTAAATATATATTTTTAT